TTTTCTTTCAGGTCATCTCAAGCTTTCAGTAAATGATCTCAATACCCCATCATAAATCAGGTTACAGGGACGATCATTGAGGCAAACAGAGGGGAGCCATTTTTCAGTGAGCCTATGCCCACTTTACCAATAAACCCACTAATTTCACATTCAGCTGAAAAGAAAACTTTTATTCTCCTTGCCTGGTGTGGATTCAAACCCAGGAACCAGCTAGGAAAGAGCAAATTTTACTAAGCTGCAGACTCATAGGCAAAACAATGTTACACAAGGTGATATAGGCAAACATCATGCCTTTCAAGTCGGTATGTTACACAGTAAGTAAGTATGCATTACATAGAGAGTAACAGATGGCTGCAAGTGTTTTATAAGGCTTTCTAAATGGTATTTGAATGGGAAGGGTATGTTACAAGCTTAAACATGCTTCTAAACCTTACAATGATGGACTTATTTCTATTACCACCACTCAGTTTTCATTCAGATGGCTGAAAGTTTGAGGTTGAAATCCACGGTTTCAGTTCATAGGAAACATAAAACATAAGCAAGGGTGATTTTTAATGCAATACTACTGGAGTTTTTGCCTTGTAAAAAATAACATTCTTTAAATGAAATGTTGGACTGTGCACAGTTTGCTTAATCAAATGAACATTAAAGATCCCAAGAGGCTCCCCCTGTTGTCCTGGCTAAAATCTTTCCCTTAATAACATCATGGATTAAACTCCTCCATTTCTTGGGGAACACGCATCCAAAGAATAGCTGGTCTATCTGCCTGTGTAACAGCAGCTATATTTGAACATTGGTAATGGCAAGACACTATCATCATCTAAACACAAACATTACTGGCGAGAGATCACTCTCTTTTCATAATTGGGCCTCATATTTCACTCATATTTCATATGGTTAACAATTCTTACCAGTCTCCTGACGAGCACAAATCTTGCGTGGTGGGAACTAAAGACATTTGACAAGATTATTCTGGCACTGAACCATTATTTCTATCGGATCAGTGGTAAGGAATGAGAGTTAAATGAACAATAACTCATTCCTTTTTAATTACGCGTTCAGTTTGTAGAAATAATGGCTATCTGGAAAGGATTACAAGGCACTAGTCTAATTGAAGGGTATACCAACATGACAGATTTCACGAGCAAAGCTTGAGCAGTTTATAATCATGATCTGAGGTTGCAAGATTAGATTACTGCCTTGAAATCTCTCCAGGTGTCTGTTTGTTTCGTTCCCTCTCAGTGTTTGATGAGGTGCTTTTACTCAACATTGATTCTGATTGTGATGCCAGCAATGCTTGTCAGAACAGAAGCCAACTGCAGCTGCACAGAAGCAAAATTGGTGTTCATATCAAAGAGCATTCCAGGGACGGGGCATTGCTGGAAAGTCTGCTTTACTTTCTATCTCTTGTTGCTTTGAGAATGAATTGCTGGATCTCTGTAATTCACCAGTATTAATTTAATATAAGAGTAGCTCACTAATGGTAAGTTAGTGCGAGTCACGTGTATGGGAATGCAGTCACATATAAATCAGACAAGGTAATGTCCCTAAAATTAAACAGGGAACTGCAGATGCTGAAGATTTGAAACAAAACCAGAAACTGCTGGACAAACTCAGCAGGGTCTGTGGCAAGGAAGCAGAGTTAACATTTCAAGGCCAGTCAAAACTGAAGGGTCACTGGACTCGAAATGTTAACTCTTGTTTTCTCTGCACAGATATTGTCAGGGCTGCTGAGTTTCTCCAGCAATTTCCGTTTTTGTTGAAAGTAACATTAGGGGCCATTAGTGATCCTGGAGGTGGCTTACTTCAAAACGACAGCTTCTTACTAACACCAGCAAAAATCAAAATCGAGATTCTCAAATTACCACGGTGAATTTTAAATTGATGTTTCTTGGATTACCAGTATGGCCCTTGGATTACTGGCCAAGTTACTTAATCACTACATTACGATCACCAGATTAATTATCATGACACTGTCACTTCAAGAAATGATTAGCACTTAAGTATAAAGCCACAGTGTGGTTTGGAGTAAAATATAATTATTTAAAGTATTACAAATAGAAGGTTCCAAAGTAAAATTGGCATTTATGTTCTTTCTATATAATACTTTAAACTAATTGTTCCTGTTAAAGATGTGTGGCTCCTGAAGAGTGTGCAGAGGAGGTTTATCAGAATGGTTTCAGGATTGGGGGTTTGGGTTGTGGAGCAAAGGAGACTGAGAGATTTGATCGAGGTAGACAGATTTGGACGCTATAGTAAAAACAAACCTACCCATTAGCTGTAACAACAAGGAGTAAGTGGCATGGATTTCCAGGAAGAGATGCAGAAGAAGTGTGAGGTGATGTGTGACTTTGCTTTCACTGCCCAGAGGGTGGTGGAAATGAAGGCAGTCAATAATTTCGGAAATAAATTGGATGGACATTTGAAGGAAATAAACTTGCAGGACTCCAGGCTTGGAGAGGGAAGGGTGTGACTTGTTTGCTGAGTGGGGAGATAGCATGACTTCCATAGCCACACTGGCCTGTCCTCAATGACTCTGTAGACTTTTTGATGCTTCCTTACATTTGAGAAACATGTCTGAATAACAACACTGTCTTGAAGCAGTTATTCTGTTTTCTCTCTAATGATGCAGCAATCTTCCCTTCCTATTCCCAAGGCCTGGGCTCTTGCTGGGACGTCTCACTGATGTCAACGGCGGCCGGATGTTTCAGCTGAGTCGTTCCTGTGAGCGCCAGGAGAATGGCCTACCACTCGGCTATTTGACTGCATGAGGCACCACCGCTGCGCTGGATCCTTTGGAACTAGGACGCGGATCCCCGGCCGGGATCTCCAGACCCCTGCTGGAGAACTACAGCCTGCTTTCCCAAAGTCCCCACCCCATGAGGACACCCACATCTGGCGGAAAGGCCAGTGTAACGCAGTCCGGATGGGGGGAGGGTGGTGGAAACTTGGAGCTTTAAGCTCAGGCCAGTTCTATGCGACCTCATCCAGGCAGTGAAAACACAAGGAGAAAGGAAGGGACCTTTCCGCTTATATTTACGAAACGATTCCTCATCGATGAATTTTACAACACGGGAGACCGATCAGTCCATCGCCCTTCCTTCTACTCACTGTCCTCCAGTGAATGTTTCCTTTTCAAATAGATCTGCTCTGTACATGAAAATAGATGATGGACAGAAGGACCTTTGTTGTAAGAGGTGGTGGTATTTGTTGGGGATGGGGGGCGGTGGGAAGGATTAGTGTAAATGTTTTGATGCAGGATGGAGTGTCGATTTACTGTGTGCTGCTAGTCTTTCTAGAATGGACAAACAATGCAAACAGACTGTGCTCAGAAAGCAGCGCGTCAGGGAGCTGCAAATTTAGCCTGGCTCAGCTCACCACCCCAGATGGTGTGTGACATACTGGGAACGGTTCGTTCACCCCCGGCTCGGAATAAGCCGAAAGAGAGAGAGACAGAAAGCAACTTTCCATGAACGAGTCGGAAGCCTGGGGCTGCAGATTGCACCGTTAATGAAGGGTCAGAATAAAACCCATTGCTTTGCTGAGCTTCAGTCGCATGTGCAGAAGCTCTGATCCCCCATTGAAAAGCGAAATGAGATTTAGAGTCCACAGCGTACCTCCTCCCCCCGGCCCAGCTGACCCGGGACTGGCTGGGGAATCCGGGTGGGATATGGACTTCAGGGGAATCTCTGTCAAGAGTCCCTGATCCTGAATCTGACCAGCTTTAATCAGACACATCACTGCAGCATCCGAAAGGGATGGCTGTGAAAGTTACCGCTGGACACTGACAGGTTTGTCAATCTGGCTAGTCCCCTCTTCACAATACACAGCAATGTAGTCAGTAACCCAGCACTGTCCATTAGTGTGTGTCCGGCTATGTGCCTCTGTACCAGTCTCTCCGTTTATTGTATACATAAGTATACAGAGATCCATTAAAGATGACTTCTCAAATCGACCACATGCTTAACTATCTACTTCATAGATTTATCAGTCATGTCAGTCATAACTATATACTGAGCTATTTATCTAATTATTTATCTATGTATTTATTGATCCATATAGATACTTATCCATCTTCACATTCAGCTGTTGAGTTTCTGTCGATATATTTTTTGACATATACAAGGACAAAGCCAGCCATTCATTTCGCTCCCCATCTACCCCTGAATGTGACTCCCAGCCTAACGCCGTCTGTGTAAGTACATGCCAAAGATCACAGGACACCCACTGCCTTTACAAAGTTGGAAGCCAAGCTGACAGTGATCGATCCGGAGCCTTGCCTTTCTCTCTGTCTCCTCCACCTACCTCTCTCTTTCTCTATCTCTATCTCTCACTGTCTCTCTCTCCTTCTCCAACCACCTAGCGCTGTCCCTCTCCTTCTCCAACCACCTAGCGCTGTCTCTCTCCTTCTCCAACCACCTAGCGCTGTCTCTCTCTCCTTCTCCAACCACCTAGCGCTGTCTCTCTCTCCTTCTCCAACCACCTAGCGCTGTCTCTCTCTCCTTCTCCAACCACCTCGCGCTGTCTCTCTCTCCTTCTCCAACCACCTAGCGCTGTCTCTCTCTCCTTCTCCAACCACCTAGCGCTGTCTCTCTCTCCTTCTCCAACCACCTAGCGCTGTCTCTCTCTCCTTCTCCAACCACCTAGCGCTGTCTCTCTCCCTCTCCAACCACCTAGCG